GGAAGGAAGAGTGAGCTCAAGAGAGAACCCGGGCTTCTCCAAGGGCGTAGAGACCACTACACACATCCTAGCATTAGACACGAAAGCATGAAAGAATACATCTCAAGAGGGGAGATGTGGGTGACACATGTGCTCAGACACCACATGTGCTTGGCCATGTGGGCGCAAGCAGCACAGGGGCTCGGGCAGCATATGTGCCCGTCCTTTGTTCAAGGTAGTTTTTATGAAGTATCTTGTTGGCATGTCTTGGTCTGGAACGTTCTGAAGCCTTCTCTGGGCTGAATCACTAAAGTTAATCGGATTAAGGGAGAGGTCTGAGGGTATTCCAGGAATTTCCTTCATGGGGAGGGGCCCAATCTCAGGGTCTGCTGAAGGTCTTATCAGGTGGATCAACCTTAGAACTTTCCTTCCCAGAAATTTTGTTGACCTAAGTTTCATTGCCAAGAGCCTTTTCCTGTGTACCTGCCTTCATCATGTTCAAGTCTCTCTAACCCCGATTTCCCAGACCTCTGTGCTGTACCCACTTTCCGGTTTGTCTGTCTGGATGCCACCCGGCAGCCTCCAGCCCTGGCCTAGGTGAGCATGAGGCTGAGCCCAGGGCTACCCCCTGCAGAGCCCTGAGCATCGCCCTGACACTCGGCCCCTTCTTCACTTCTTTCTCATCTTTCCAGTTTCTTGTTGCTTCCCATGCTTAGATCTTGGTCCTCTTTGGACATTGCTGATGAGATCAACCAACCCTCCCTCCTTCCCTACTCCTTCCCTCCCTCCCTCCCCCCCCTCCCTTCCTTCCTTCCTTCCTTCCTTCCTTCTCTCCTTCCCTCCCTTCCCCTCTCCTTCTCCTTTCCTCCCTCACTTTCTCTCTCCCTTCCTCCTCTTTCTTTCCTCATTTTCTTTCTTTCTTTCTTTCTTTCTTTCTTTCTTTCTTTCTTTCTTTCTCTCTCTCTTTCTCTCTTTCTCTCTTTCTTTCTTTCTTTCTTTCTTTCTTTCTTTCTTTCTTTCTTTCTTTCTTTCTTTCATCATTTTCTTAGGGGCCACACTTAGCAGTGCTCAGGGCCCACTCCTGGCTCTGTGCTTAGGGATCTCCTGGAGAGGCTCAGGGATACAGGGGATTGAACCTGGGTTGGCTGCGTGCAAGGCAAGCACCTTGCCCATTGTACTACCTCTCTGGTCTGGAACTGTTTTTTTCTTTACAAAGGAAAGCCAGCCACTTGACTCTCATAAAAATGATAGGAATGTTTGTGATTGTCCATGTCTCTTTTGAAATTATTGCTGTACACTCGTCTAAAAATGATTCAGTGTGTGTTGAATGAGTATTTTTGTTTAATTATTCTCACGTGACATTACCTGATTTGGAATTAGGGAAGAAATCATAGTTATTAACGTCCATGTTTAAATTTACTACATAAGAACTATTGCCCTTTTTTTTTTTTCTTTTGCTTGGGGGTTCCAGGAATTGAACCTAGGTTATCATGCATGCAAGACAGGTGCTCTACCACTGAGTAACATTCCAGGCCCCAAGGCAAGTTTTTTGCTGTTGTTGTTTCTTTGTTTGGGGTGGCATCCTGCTGTTGCTCCTCAGGGATCATTCCTTGCAGGGCTTGGAGGCCAGATGTGCTGCTGAGGATCAAACCTTTGTTGCCTCTGATTAAGTCAAGAGCCTTACCTGCTGTGTTCTCTCTCAGTGAGATGGGAAAGTGTAGGATAACAATCGATTGTCCTTTCTCCCTTGCCACAATGAGTTTAGGCTTATCAGGTTACACCCATCACAGTGCTGGTGAGTCACTCCCATTCCTTTGTTTATCTGTAAGCACTTCCCTGTGCTCTCTTCCCCAACCAGTTAATCAGCTTTTCCCCTAATCAAACTCTGTTAATTTGTAAGGTGAGATCCTTCTATGACATTGAACCTGTATTGTAAGCTTTTCTCTTCTCCTTTCTCTTCTCCTTATATCTTTTGAATAGTTTACTTTAAAACAATGTCCTTTTGTATAGATACAGGAAGACAGTTAATATTATGTTTTTGTAATTTGGGATTTAATTGGCTTTGAATATTATTCACTCCTGGCATCTGCTTTCTTGACTTAAGCCTCAGCTGCCTTTAGTTCCTAGCACCCCAGGACCCGGGTCCCATCGAGGGACTGAATGGACCCACGGCAAGCTGTGAGCTACCCTGGCATCGAAATGGGCCAGGCCAAAGTGCCACGATTCTTAACTATAAGTTAAGAGCTTGATCATGGACAAATGCTGTCATGATCCAAAAGTAACCATGAGATAAGGACCCTACTAAGAATAGGAAAGACTAATCTGGCCTGAGCACTGTAGTCTGAGATGGAGATGACCCCAGGAGAGCAATTCTATAAACTTAATGTATCTCTTACTGTGTCCATACAAAATGATTAATATTATGACTGCTTATATGTTGTTGGACAAGGAGAGGAGAAACACACCCATGGGATTCTGCTCTAGGGTGGGGCGTCCTGCTGAATGAGAATCTGTCCTAGAAGAAGTATCCCCTGAGATGGGTGTTTGATCATTGTATGATTGAGACTTAAACCTGAAAGCATTGTAACTTTTCTCATGGCAATTCAATAAACATTTTTTAAAAAAAAAAGAAGTATCCCCTGAGGGAAAGAACTTTACCCCTATGATTGTGACCACATAATAGGGGAGGGGAGGGAGGGAGAGACAGGAGGGAGAGGGGAGGGAGGGCGGGGGGGGGGGGAGAGGGAGAGAGAGAGAGAGAGAGAGAGAGAGAGAGAGAGAGAGAGAGAAGGGAGAGGGGAGTAAGATAGAGATATGCACCAAAAGATATGGTTCAGTTTTTCTTCTAATTAAAAATCACACCTGAATGCAACACCTTGAATTCTGCATACATCTTACACTCACGGAAAATCAGCCCAGAGTGAAGTCGCTGCTGACTGTAATAGAGCAGAGAATGCACCCGGCCCTTTGAATTTCTCATGCAGATAATTCGGGTTTGATCCCCAGCACTGAATGCTTCTCTCAGCGCCGCTGGGAGAGAGGCCTGAGCATCAACTGGGAGAACCCCCTGACCCTCCCCTGCCTCTCAATAAAAATCCTTTAGGATTGAGGAATAGGGCAGGGACTTAGATTGCCTGCCTAGAAGTATATGATTGGTCATGAGTTTAAGTCACTGGCACCCCACATGCACCGTGTGATCCCAGCTGCTCTGCTTTCTGCGAGATAAGATTTTACAAAGCCCAAGCATGTACTTCAAGCACTTTTGGGCTCTATCACGGTTCATGTTCATAGTGTGTTCAGAACACCACAAAATCAGTCAATCAGTCCTTCAATTGCATACATTTCTTTGGAGAGAATTTGGAAGATTTGAACTGAAAGAGTATGGTGATTTGGGCCACACCCGGCAATGCTCAGGGTGTCTCCTGGGTTGGTGCTCAGGATCATTCCTGTCAGGGCTCAGGGGACTGATTGTATGTGGTGCTGGGGGTTAGACCTGGGTTAGACCTGGGTTACCCGCATGCAACAGAGGTGCCCTCCCCTCTGTACTACTGCTCTGACCGCTGTCTTGCCTTTCAAAGAAACTCATTTAACACTTCTTGCAAGTGAGCGGGTAGGGCGTTTGCCTTGCTTGCGGCTGATCCGGGTTCCATTCTTCTGTCCCTCTCGGAGAGTCTTGCAAGCTACTGAGAGTATCCCGTCCGCATGGCAGAGCCTGGCAAGCTCCCCGTGGCATATTCGATATGCCAAAAACAGTAACAAGTCTTACAATGGAGACATTACTGGTGCCCGCTCGAGCAAATCAAGGATAGTGCTACAGTGCTATTATTCTACTGCTTAGTGTTTCTATGGAGTTTTCTTATCGATGACTCTCTTTGTTTCTGTCATTTCTGTTTATAGTTTTCTCATTTCATTTCGCATAATGTCTTATGTCTTGCAACTACCTGTGCCATTATTTTTTTTTGAGCTCATTAAACATCCTTCCTGTGGTGTCACTGAAGTCATTGTCTGAGAATTCGGTGCATTGGTTGAGCCTTCTGCATTTTTGTCTTTGCTTGTGGAGTTTGGTGGGATTCTCTGCATCTTCCCTTCTTCCCCGCTGTGTTGGAAGTGCCCCCCGCTCTGCAGTTGGTCCCCCACTCTCACCCCCACCCAGGACTCAAGGAGCAATTAGGCTGGGAATTCTCCTTCCCTGATCACTGTATCACCATATCACTGTCATCCCGTTGTTCATAGATTTGCCTGAGCAGACCCTAGTAACGTCTCCATTGATCCCAGCCCTGAGATTTTAGCAATCTCTCCTTACTCGTCCTTCCCAACGCTGCCACATTGGAGGCTCTTTCAGGGTCAGGGGAAATTGTTACTGTGTTTGGCATATCGGATGTGCCACTAGGAGCTTGCCAGGCTCTTCCCTGATAGGAATCATAATTGAGCAGTGTGAAATCAGACGAGGGGCTGTCACATGGCCCAGGCTGGGCCGGAAGGATGGAACTAACCTCTGGCTCCTCCCAAAAAGGTCTCGTTGGTGCCAGCTGGGACACAGCTCACCTGGAAAAGGATTTTTTTTTTTTTTAGTAAAATAGTTATATTTCGAGAAATATGAGGGAAGACTGAGGGAAAGAAGAAGAGTGAGGGAAGAGAGTGAGAGACAGAGATGGACAGAGACAAGTTCTAGAAAACACAGAGGCTGTTCCAGGTGGGCGAGGTTTGTTTATATGAATTCTCTTCAGATTACCTTGGTCTGGGGTTCTCTGTGGGCCAGCAAGATAGTATAGTGATCAAGGCTCTTTCCTTTTATGCAGCTGACCACAGTTTGATCCCTGGCCCCTGATCACAGCCAAGAGTGACCCCTGAATGCAGATCTGGGAGTAAGCCCTGGGAACCATTGAGTGTGGCCCAAAATTCAAAAGGAGAAAAAGGAAGGAAAGGTCAGCTCTTCCATATGCCAGGTTTCCTTACATATTACTTCCGGGTTTCTGTTTCAGTGTTAGCATTGCTTTTCTTTTCTGTTTCTGCCCCATTAGCAAATTGTTTGCAACAGAAAACTATTTGGCAGCTATTAATGCATACAACTTAGCCATAAGACTAAATAACAAGACTCCACTGTTGTATTTGAATCGTGCTGCTTGTCACTTGAAACTGAAAAACTTACACAAGGCCATTGAGGACTCTTCTAAGGTACGTTTCTTCGTTTGCCTCCTTGCTTATAGTGTCTTAAAATGGGAATTCCCCTGGGCTGGGGAGATGTCTCAGGGAGCTAGAGCACAGTCCTGGCCCACACAGGGCCCCCGTGCTGGATTCCCAGCACTGTGTGGCCTCAGAATCACTGACAGGTATAACTCTAGTAACTCTCGTACCCCAGCCAAGCTCCCTCCCCACCAGAACACAAGACTCACCTTTAGAGGCCTGGGAATTTGGTTTAATGAATGAGCCTTACCTGTGGAAGGCCCTAGCTTTGATCACAAGTCAAATCAAATGAAAAAGGAAATCTACAGGGTGATTCTCCTATTTATTGGTTTAAATGATGCCTTTATCTTTTATCTTTTATCTTTATGCCTTTATCTTTTGTTTTTGTTTGGGGGCTACACCCAGTGGTGCTCAAGGCTTACTCCTGGTTCTGTACTCAGGAATTACTCCTGGCAGTGCTCTGGGGACCATTAGATGGGATTCTAGGAGTGAACTCCATGGCCGCATGCAAGGCAGGACAATATTCTCTGTACTATCACTCCAGTACCACCTTTATCTTTCTTTCTTTTCTTTTAAATCTAAATAAATGAAATGAAAGGTTTTAAGAATCATTTTGCTTACTGCTACATATTGACCCTTGACTCCTACGTGCAAGGCAGATGCCTCAGCCCTTTCAGCTATGACCCTTTACGGGGGAAATTTGCCTTAAGGGGGAAATTACATGCAGAATCTTCTTTATTTTATTATTTTGTTTATTTTTGTTTTGTTTTGGGGCCTTACCTGGTGATGCTCAGGGGTTACTCCTGGCTCTGTGTTCAAGGAGTGTTCCAGGTGCTGCTTGGGAGACCAAATGAGATACTGGGGTTTTAGCCTGGGTTGGCTATGTGCAAGGCAAACCCCTTTCTGCTGTACTATCGCTCTGGCTCACATACAAAATATCTTATGTGTCTCTTTGAGATTGAGCATATGGAGGAAGCAATTATATCTCTATACCTGATATCATTAAACCACTGAAGATTTGATTGCATGTGCTTATATGTATGTACAAGTATATGTGTGTGCATACATACATTTGCTTTAAGTGGTCCTATGAATGTGTAACCATGTACATATGTCATCTTTCATGGAACCACATGTTTTTGTAACCATATGTATTCACCTACATATGGTTATTTTAATAAGGTAAAATAGTTTTACAGTGAGTGTCCTTTATAGGGAGGATTACCAATTTTAAGGAGAGTATAGGATTCTCCGAAGACTGAAAGAGAGAGAGAAATGAGCATTCTCTCCACCCATCCCCAAAGACACAGTAACTCCAGGCCGACTGCTGTAAAGGAGATACTGTGCACCCACCCTGGAGTGTGGCTGACTTCAGACTGGAGTGTCCTAACAGTGTTTTTATTTTATAGATAATTATTTTAATGATGAATGAACAGGATCATCCAATTTCAATATAAAAGACCATAAGTATTATTTAGTCACTCCTTATAGAAAATGTACAGGTTACAAATAATAAATCAGAACTTCGGGCACCAGGGTTTGGAACTCATGTAGGAGCAAAACAACTTGACAGTGTGTGTGTGTGTTTTTTTTTAACATAGATAAAGATACATGTATTTGATCAGCTGCTTTGCCTGCTAAGCCAAAAACTTATGTGGAAAACACTCTTTTTATTTTTTTAATTATTTATTTATTCTTTGGTTGGGCCACCCCCGGCAGTGCTCATGGGTTACTCCTGGCTCTACCCTCAGGAATTAACTCCTGGTGATGCTTGAGAAATGTTATGGAATGTGAGGGACTGAATCCCAGGCGAGCCCCATGCAAGGAAAGTGCCCTACCTGCGTACTATTGCTCTGACCCTGGGTGAGACGTGTTTTGAAGTTACCATGTATTGTTTAAGTTATTATTATTATTTAAGTTAGAAATTTTGTCTTCACTAATCATTTTTTGGGGAAGGCACTAGAATTACTCATGCCACCTGTTGCGGACAATGCTAATGCAAGGATGAAGGCCCACGTGCGCCGGGGAACAGCGTTCTGTCAGCTGGAACTGTACATTGAAGGTAAGAAAGTGATGGGGGCAGGCTTCAGCTTCAGGTCATGCTTAACAACAATGGGGTTATTTAAGATAATGACTTTTTAGGACTCCATTATTTTATATTTTTAAACTTTCATTTACTCCAGCAGTTTAAATAAAATAAAACATGATTTTGAAATATTAAAATATTTCACAGAATAATTTAGTGGACTAAATACATGCTTTGCATATGGGTGTGTGTGTGTGTGCACCTGGTTTTGATTCCCAGCACCATACGGTCCCTCAAACACCAAACTGGGAGTAACCCCCGAAACATTGCTGAATGTGGCCCAAAAGCAAACAAATGAAAATTTTCATTTTTGGGGACCAGAGATGAAACTCAAAGGGCTAAAAAGGGGGGGTGGAAGAGAGAGAGAGAGAGAGAGAGAGAGAGAGAGAGAGAGAGAGAGAGAGGTCAAAGAGCTAAAAGGAAAAAGGAGGGAGAGAGAGGGAGAGAGAGAAAGAGTTTAAGAGAGAAAGGGAGGGAGAGAGAGGAGAGAGGTAGAGAGAGAGAGAGAGAGAGAGAGAGAGAGAAAGAGAGAGAGGGGCTGGCGCAATAGCACAGCAGGTAGGGCATTTGCCTTGCATGTGGCCGACCCAGGTTCGATTTTCAGCATCCCACATGGTCCCCCGAGCACCGCCAGGGGTGACTCCTGAGTGCAGAGTCAGGAGTAACCCCTGAGCATCACCGGGTGTGACCCAAAAAGAAGGAGAGAGAGAGACACACAGAGAGAGAGGGGGTGGGGGTGGGGGGTTAGGGGTGATGGGCGGGGAACTGGAGACATTGGTGCTGGGAAATAAATATATGCTGGTGTAGGGATGGGTGTTGAATCACTGTATGACTAAAACACAATCACGAACAGCTTTGTAATAGGCTATCTCACATTGATTCAATTAAATTCTTTTTGAAAAAAAGAGCTCAAAGGGCTGAATCACAAGCACGTGCTTTGTATGTGAAGTGACTGTGTTCAATCCCTGGCACTGGATGGTTCTAGCATCCCCAGGAGTGGCCTCTGAGCCCCATCCCATGTGGCCTAATGCCCACCCCACCCCCATTAAAAATTTTATTTTTTGTAGAAGCAAGTTAAAACTATTGAATCAAGGATGAGCACGTGTCCTAGTGACGAAACACATGCTTTCTATGCATGAGCCCTGAGTTTGACTGTTGGTATTGCAAAATAAAAATAAAATATGGTGCTGGAGAGGTAGTACAGTGGATACCACATATGGTCCCCCAAGCTCAGGGCAGATCACTGAGCACAAGTAGAGCCAAATAAGCCCTGAGCACCACCGGGGATAGTCCTGTTGCAGCAACCCTCAAACCAAAAAAGTTGCTTCTTGTTTTGAACTATGCCCTTACTATTTATTTTTTCATTGATTGATTGATTGATTGATTGACTGGAGATGCTCAGGGCTTACTCCTGACTCTAAGCTCAGGAATTACTCCTGGTGGTGCTCAGGAGACCATATGGGATGCCTGGGACCAAACCTGGGTCAGCCATGTTTAGGGGATATATGTTTATAAAGTATCTTCTTTAAATCATTATTGTTATATAAATCTAGGCCTACAGGATTATGAAGCTGCACTTAAGATTGATCCATCCAACAAAATTGTACAAAAAGATGCTGAGAACATTCGGAATATAATTCAAGGAACAGAACTAAAGTCTTACTGACTACTAGAAGGAGCTCTGTATGTACTAGGTATTTTCAGTTTTTCAAAATTAACTGAGAGTACTGGAATATGTATCTGTTTCATGAATAGTGACTATGCAAAATAATTTTCTTGTTGCTGTTCTAGTTCTCTAGAGGGAAACTATTATAAATCTCTACAAAATTAAACGCTTTAGTTGAATGATTTCTAAATAATCAAAATAAGAATAATCTTGTTCAGTTCTTTGTTTCATATTAACATATTCATATATTATTTGTTGTTTAACCACATTGTCCTTATAATCAACCAAATGTTTGTTGGTATGATAAATACTAGGATACTTACTGATTCTTTTTTGAACAAAGTAGAATTTTAAATAAAGGATTATGTTTATAAAATGTTTTGCTTATATATATATATATATATATTTTTTTTTTGCTTTTTGGGTCACACCTGGCAATGCACAGGGGTCACTCCTGGCTCTGCACTCAGGAGTTACTCCTGGCGGTGCTCAGGGGACCGTATGGGATGCTGGGAATCGAACCCGGGTCAGCTGCGTGCAAGGCAAATGCCCTACCCGCTGTGCTATCTCTCCAGCCCCTGTTTTGCTTATATTAAATATAATTTTTAGTGATCTGAATGGCTAACAGGCAAATATTGATGTTGTCACTTAGCTCCTAAATGCACAGAATCTGATTTTAGTTGCAGGGTGGGGACAGGGTTGTCACACCCGGCTGTGCTCAGTGCTCTGGGTCCAGGGATCACTCCTGGCAGTGCCCAGGGGATATGAGATGCCAGGATTGAATCTGAACCCAGGTTGGTCATGTGCAAGTCAAGCAACCTCCCTCCTGTGCACTCTCTCCAGTACCAGAACCTAACCTTTGTAGTTCTGTGAAGTTCTGGGCAGTGTGAGGGCTGCTGAGATAGCTCAACATTAGAGCTCTTGCTTTGCATATCTGAGATAACTGGATTTGATCCCTGGCAATGCAAAATAAATGTTATGGGCAGCATACCCCCTAAACATTGACATTTTCATCACTGTCTGATGAAGATTGATTTTCCTAGTAAGTCTATTTTTAATACCTTGACATTCCCTGGAGGGAAAAAAAAAGTAAGCAAAAGGTGAAATGTTAATTTAGTATAGTATGCTAGCCAGGCTGGAGAGCTAGAACAGGGGGCTGAGCCCATGATTTGCATGCAAGGGGCTAGCAGAAAGAAGGGCACGGTCCCTGAACACGGCTGTCCCCACCCATACTGGGAGAAGGCTGCACACTGCAGGTGGGGCCCAATATAAACAAAACTGATGTTAGCATTGCTCAGCACCATTCTGTGACTTCTAAATTTGTCTTGAGGAGAGATTATGCACAAGACGGTTTGTTGCAGCTGTCAGGGGAGTTGGCAAGGGGTTTTTCTGGAAGTAATAAAACCGAAATATGATTTAAAGAAATTGCTTAGAGACCAAGCCTGTAGCAGTCTGGAAGCAGGAAGGTTGGAACCTTTTTGAAAAGCAAATAAGTACTAAGCTCTTTGGAGAGGCAGAGCTGAAGCCTCACCCAGAGAATGGTAGAGACCCTCAGAAGAAAGGAGGGACTGTGGTAAGAATTTCTAAACTGACTCTCAGAAATCCAAGTTCTTTCTATTGGAGAGTCCCCTGGCGAGACTGTGAGCTTTTTTTTAATTTTTTATTATTTTTTTTGCTTTTGGGGTCATACCCGGCTATGCACAGGGGTTACTCCTGGCTCTGCACTCAGGAATTACCCCTGGTGGTGCTCGGGGGCCCATGGGATGCTGGAAATCGAACCCGGGTTGGCTGGGTGCAAGACAAACGCCCTAGCCACTGTACTATCACTCCAGCCCCAACTGTGATCTTTAAAGGCAGGCAGGCCTCATTCCCCACATTGAGACTGTCTTCACTCCAGCCAGAAGCTTGTCATTCCTTTTTTTCCCTTTATAGGAGGACTTACCCTGACTCCCTCCCCTTTGGAAAAATCCAGTTTTCTCTCTCCCTCCCTCTCGGTTCCTCTCTCTCCTCAGTCCAGTGACCTGGGAACCTGAGTAGAAATTAGAACTGGCTTTGCTTCTTCCTGCAAAGAGCAGACTGACTCCAGGACTCTCCTACGCTGCCAGTCCTCAGGGAGCCAGGGCATGGGGGCCTCACCAGTCCCAGCCTCCCAGGCATCTCTGGAGTCACCGGAGGCAGCCACCGGCCTTATTCCCTGCTTGCCTCTTCCACCTGGAAGATCTGTACTTTGGGGAGTACCTCCAAAATCAACTGGAGCATTTTATGTGCCACCCAGGAAAATGAACTATAACATTTCCCTTTTTTCCCCCATTTTTTATTAGTGAATCACCGTGAGGTACAGTTACAGACTTACAAACTACCGTGCTTGCGTTTCAGTCATACAGGGGTTGAGTACCCATCCCTCCACCAGTGCCCGTTTTCCACCACCAATGGTCCCAGTATATCCCTCCTACCACCCCAACCCTGTCCCCTCCATCTCTCTCTCTCTCTCTCTCTCTCTCTCTCTCTCTCTCTCTCTCTCTCTCTCTCTCTCTCTCTCTCCCCCCGCCCTTTAGGGTGTTGTGGTTTGCAGTAAAGGTATTAAGTGGCCCTCATGTTCGGTCTGTAGTCTACTTTCAGCTCGCATCTCCCATCTCGAGTGGGTCCTCCTAGCTCCCTTTACTTGGTGGTCCCTTCTCTATCTGAACTGCCTTTCCCCCCAGCTTCTAAGCTGTGGAGTAATCCTGGTACTTATCTCTACTATCCTTGGGTGTTAGTCTCCCATTCTGTTAACTTTATATTCCACGAATGAGTGCAATCTTTCTATGTCTACCCCTCTCTTTCTGACTCATTTCACTTAACATGATACTTTCCATGTATAGCATTTCTCTTTTGTATAGAGTGATTGTAACCATTCTGGTTGCATTTTAGGAAAGAAAAAGGTTTTTTTTTCCTTTTTTTTTTTTTTCAGTATGTGATCACTTGCCATTCAGATGATTTCTAAAATAGCCTTACTCTTTTTCTTTGAACAATAATTTTTAAAATGTGAGTTACTCGTTTAATAACCTGTAGTTTGATTTCTGTAAAGAACTGTTGCAGACAGGTAGATAGTGGGGGTGCTTGTAAGGAGCTCTGGGGAAATAGTAAATCTTAGAAAGGGCCACAAAGAGTCCAAAGCTTTCTTTTCCTGTGACAATGCCCAGTTTAACATTCATGTACACTGAAAAATCCAGACCCAAACAACTTGAAGAATTGTTTCTGAACTGTCTTCCCCTCACTCTTCTCTGCTTTCCCTGTCTGGATAATAATAATAATAATAATAACAATCTCTCCTCCCCCATATTTTATTTTTATTTTATTTTGCAGTGCCAACGATCAAACCCAGGTCTCATGCATGGAAGACATGTATTTTGCCACTAAAACTTATCCTTGGCCTTGACTCAATATACTTGCTTCTGTGGAAATGGGGGGGGAGGTGAGGGGAAATGGAGGGTGGGTGCGGGCATTGGCTCACATGCATGGTGCTCAGAGGTCACTCCTGCTTGTGCCATTATAAAATGCCAGGTTTGCATTACCTGGGAAAATGCAGTGAGACTTGTTTGTTTGGGGGCCACACCCCAAGCGGTGCTCAGGGGTTTCTCCTGGTTTTGCCCTCAGGAATCACTCCTGAGGATGCTTGGGGAGCCATGTGAGATGTCATGGGTCAGAGCTGGGTTGGCCGCCTGCAAAATGAGTTCCCTACCTGCTGCACTATGGCCCAGTGAGACTTCTTTTTGAACTGTTCCCTCATATCTAGCCATTTTTGTTGGGGAGAAGGATCCAGCATTTCCCATCCTCTAGTGATTCATAGTACTATTCTAGTTGATCTTGATATTCTGAACCTGAAATCCAGCAGGGAAAAATAACAGTGATTTCCTTTTTTCAGCAAGGGTAAATCATATTCAGACCCTACCTGGACCTGTGGTATCAACAGGTGGCAATTGAAATAAATCCTTGTATGGGGGTTTAGAGCTCTGAGAGATGGGATCTTCGACCTTCCACAAGCACACCCACAACAAGGAGTCTTTCACAGAGGCAAGGTGCCACACCTGGCTTTGTCCAGGGGTTACTTCTGGTTCTGTACACAGGATTCTCTCCTGTTTTGCTCAAGGGACCATAAGTGGTGCCAGGGATCAAACCTGGGTTAGCCACATGCAAGGCAAAGGCCTTACCTGTTATTACATATTTACTCTGGCCCAGGGTGCTCGACTTGCATATGGCTGACCTTGGTTCAAATTCTGGTGCGACATAGGTCCCTGAGGGTGGCAGTCAGGGTCACTCTTGAGCGGAGGGCCAGGAATAGCCTCTGAGCACCTCTGGGTATTGCTTAAAAACCAAAACAACAACCAGTTTTGTATAGATTGAAATTAAAGAGTTTGAAGAATTATCTTCAGACTGCTCCACCACTGCTCAGACTCTGTTAAAGAAACGTGAAATTAATTGCATCTGTGAAAGTGAGCCAGATTCTCTCACACCTTTGAATTTTCATAAATAATATTCTTCCTACCTGAACTGACTTTTCCTGTAATTGGCTTTACCTTTTCCACATGCATCTCCTGTCTTATTTCAATCTGAGAAATTCTCTGCATTTGAAAGACTATTTCTTTCAATAGAGGGGTGGAGGAATCAAACCCAGGTCGGTCATGTGCAAGGCAGATGCCCTACCCGCGGTGCTATTGCTGCAGCCGTTGCTTGCTGCAGGAGGTGTTAAATCAATATTTACTAAATGAGAGAACAAATCTTCTCTTCCTAACTAACATACTCTTAAGCTCTGAGCCATTTGCTGAAATTACAAAAATGGAGCGCCGGAGAGTACGGTGAATAGGACCTTGGTCTTGCATGCCACCCATCCTAGCACCCATATGTTCCCATAGTCCACTCTAGGAATGATCTGTGTAGAGAGCCAGGGAGTAAGTCCTGAACACCACTGGTATTCCCCCCCCCCCCCCCAAATTAAAACCAAAACCCAAACAAAATTACTGGTCAGATTTTTGTTGTTGTTGGGGGGGGGGGGGCACCCACGTGGTCCTATCAATTCCCAACCAGCCGGACAAACTTGAGTTGGCTGCACTCAAGGGCTGCGCCTTAAATTGCTCTAGCACCCAGAATCTTGTTTTTCTCTTAGAGTACCTGTCTTCCTTTTTCTTGATAAATATACCTGATAGATCTTAAGATCATGAAAGCCTTTTGAGGTTTTTGGAGTATAGTAAATAAAACTAGGTTGCACTCAAATGCTTGTTGATTCCATTCTGAACATTTTATAAGAAGTCACTGTCATTCCGTTGCCAATTGAAATACTTTATTTCTCAAAATGTTCTAGAATTCCAGTCTTCACATTTCCAAATTAGGTAACAAAGATTTAACTCATTTTTAATTAACTCAGTGGCATATAGTGTGTTGAAAATTAGGGAAATCAAGGGTTCTGGTTCTGTCGGGTCCAGTATTCAGAGAATTATTTTGATAAAACCCAGTACTGCTGATTTGACTTGAAAATGCATACCCCCTTGGATTGTAATTGCAGGGAAAAAACTGTGGTATTGGTAAAAATTCACCATAATCACTTGAATTGGTTTTATACAGAATCATCTTAGGTTCTGATAGGGAAGTAGCGGTAAGGAGTTTCTTGGGGTCCAACATGCAGGAAAAGACAGGATTTCCAGGATTCACACAAGGAGGCAGTGGGTCAGGATTTGTTTCTGCATCTGAATTTGAAGCTGAAGTATTTATCCTAAAATATAAACACATCATTTTAAGTCATTTTCAATTCTGGTGCCAGAATTATAATATCTGTGTACACACACACACACACACACACACACGTTAGTATGTCATACTAACACAAATTAACTCCAAATGAATTAAAGATGTTAATGTAAAAACTGAGAGCACAGCGGGTAGGGCATTTGCCTTGATTGTGGCCCACCCGGGCGACCTGGGTTCGATTTCTCTGCCCCTCTTGGAGAGCCCAGCAAGCTACCGAGAGTATCTTGTCCGCATGGCAAAGCCTGGCAAACTCCCCGTGATGTATTTGATATGCCAAACACAGTAACAAGAAGTCTCACGATGGAGACATTACTGGTACCCGCTTGAGCAAATCAATGAACAATGGGTGGACAGTGACAGTGACAAAGTAAAAACTGAAACTAGGGCTGGAGAGAGAGACCACACGCTTTGCATGTGGGAAATCTGGGTTCAGTCCTGGCACTACCAGGAGCAGCCCCTGGGCACAGGGCCAGTGGTATCCTCCAGGATTGCCAGATATGGACCCCAAAAAGAACAAGACAAAATCTGTGTTCTGGATATGACACCAAAAGCATAAGAAATGAAAGCAAAAATAAAGAAACAAATGGAATCATCTCATGGGACTAAAAATGCCTGGCAAGTAATAACAGCAAACCCACAGAATGAAGAGAGACTTGTTAAGAATAAAGACATATTTACAAACCATAGATTTGACGAATGGCTCAATATACAGACTATAAAAAGGAACTGAGTAGCAAAAAAAAGGAAAAAGAAAAGTTATAGTCTGAATAAAAAATGATCTGTCCTATGTATGGATATAGAGAAACATGGTAAGGGAATGAAAAATGGCCAAAGGTACAGACCCTAAGAATTGGCCTCCAAAACTCGGTCAGCCATGGGGAAAGGTCGGGGGAGGGGGTTTGAGACACTCTGGTGTTGGCTGTGGAGTTGGAACACTATGCCTGAAACTCCGTCTTGTAAACTATAATGCTGTAAATCAGGGTGTGTGTGGATGAGTTGTGTGTGTGTGTGTGGGGGGGGGGGGATTGGCAAAGGACCTGACTAGACAGATTCTAAGCTCGTAAAGTCAAGGCTATGTAAATCAGAATCACAACAGTGTCTCCCTGGGGAGAGAGCATGTGCTTTGCATGCATCAGGCCTGGGCCCTATCCATGGCACTGCCTAGCATCTTCTCCACCCCCGATATTTTAAAATATTTTTAATCCCCACTCCCAGTACTACCAGGAGCCACCTACATACATCAAGCCAGGGCTCAGCCCTGAGCCCCGCTGAGGGTGGCCCAAATACCAGCAACAAAAGCAAACCACATTGAAGAATCACCTCACATATGTTTAGTTGACAAAAAGTCCAGAGGGAAGTGCCAGGGAAGATGTGAAAAGCAAAGAGAGCCTGTGTAATTAATACAGCCACTGTGGAAAACAGAATGAAGGGTTCACAGGAAGTTAAAAATAGAACTTCTATATCACCCAGAAATCCCAATACAGAGCTCTTTGTTCTTCCTTTGGGGGCCATATCTAGTGCTTGGTGGCTGCTCCCGGCACGTTGTTGAGGGAACCATGAGAAACCTGGGGTGCACTCCAGCCCTCTGCGTACCCACTTGCCTCAGAAAAGCCAGTATACATCCGAAGGGATTGAAATCACTGTTTTGAAGAGATAAACGTGCCCCTTTGGTTTGCTAATCAGAAATGCAGCCTAGGCTGACTAAGTGGAATCAGAAGTCCTCCACAAAAGTGCTTTCTCACACACACAAGAAATACCCAGGAATCTGGTCAAAACAGACTTCAGACTCAGGCCTGAGCCGGAAACAGATTCTGAATTTCATTCTCTCTTTCTCTCTGTCTCTATCTCTTTCCCTCCCTCCCTCCCTGTTTTTGAACCACACAGCGCCTTACTCTTGGCTCTGTGCTCAGGGAGCACTCATAGTGGTACTGGGGATTGAGCCAGAGTAACCCCTATGGAACCCCAGAGTAATAAAGCCCCCTATGGTGCTCATGTTGCTGACGCCTGGATCGTGCTGTGTGCATGGGGCTACCCTTGTCCTGAAAGCTATGGCTGACCTTGTGGATGGGAGAAAGGTCTTTGGCAGGCAGAGTAAGGCTGTGGGGTTTCTTACGAGCAGAAGGCCACAAGGACCCGGATTAACAAGACCACATGACACCTACCCAGGGGGAAACATATTTGTATACTTCCTGCTGTGAGAGTTACAAAAAAAAGCACAAATTAGGTCTTCGGTTCTGGATTCTGGTGTTGGCACTGATAATAGCTCTGTGCCACAGGTGAAATTATTTGATAAGGATTCAATTCCCTGTTCATCAAAAGAACAAAGAGGAAAATGGATTAAATGGATTGATTATTCTAACCTGTGGATTTAGCGAGCAGGACTTTCCAAACATACGTAATTTTCAGTTCTTTGAAAAGCATAAAGGAAAGCATATATTTACTTGTGATAAGGCCCTTTACTTGTGATACAGCTCTTAATAAATGCTCTCAGTGGTGTCCAAGTCGGCCTCTTAAGGGCTGGGGAGAGAGCTCAACTGGATGGAACATATATTTTGCATGCCAGAGGACTGGATTCAGTCTCTGGCTCTTATGGTCCCCAAGAACACTGGGACTGACCCGGAGTGCTTGCTGGGAGTGACCCCTATGCACCCCCAAGTGTGGCTCAAAACCAAAAAACTGGTCAGAGAGGGAGGACAGCAGCTCAGGCACTTGCCTTGCACACAGCTGACCTGGATTCAACCCCTGGCACCCCATAGGTTCCCTGAAAAACTTCTGGCAATAAGCTTTGAGTACAGTTCTGGTATGGCCTCCAAGCCAAACTCAAACAGACAGAAAGGGTTTTAAATAACCAAACTTCGTTTTTCTTTGTGGACTATAGAATATTTTTGTAATAAGGCTGAGATCCTTTAAGACTTCTAAATCCTAGGCTCTGTATTAGAACACTTTCCTTGATGTGTGAGGAAGGGCAGAAGGGAGGAAAAGGAAGTTCTAAATACTTTAGCAAACATAAACCTCCTAACCTTAAACCGTAGATATGAATATTTACAGACCTCTAGTGCTAAGTGTAAACAAAGTTTTCTGAGTTTCAGATCTGGTCCTAATTAGATTCCTCTTTGACAACCTAACCCAGTTCACCTGAATTCCTGAGTTATTCCAGTTAACGCCCCCAAGGTCAGGGACCGATTTCACTTGAAATCTGGGGTCCAGACATGCACATGTGATGCACTTCTTTCTTCCCTCCCCTTGGTTCAGAACTGAATGACTCTTCGCGCATGGGTGGAAACGCACAATGCGGGAACTGGGACCGAGGTGTCAATCATCATTCCTCCTCATTTCACCTGACTTTTTATCACAATCTGTGGCACGGTTTGGTGCAGTTTCAGGGGATCCAACCCCGGGCTTCACACCTGGGAGGCAAGTGCCCACCCCTGTTCCTGTCGTTTTCCGTCCAAAGCCATCGCTGCAGTCTTGCAGACCACCCAGACCACCTCAAGCTGCAAAGCTGGGTCACAGCACCGCGCACGTGCAACTGTGCCAAAATAAAAGCGGCTGGGGAGGGAGACCCTCCGCCCACTCTCCCACGCACACCCCGCACCCCGCAGCACCGGACCGCTGCACCATAAGCACCCGGCTCCGCCCAAACCCAGCCAGTCGCACCCGGCCATTCTCCGTATCTATCCTGGTTCACTGTCTCCGGCAAACAGTCGGCGGATGGCGAAGGCGGACGGCGAGCTCCCAGGGCCGCACCGAATGTCGGCGGAAGAGAAGGTGAAAACCGACCATCCACGCGTCCGTGGGCCGCGGTAACAGCCAGAATCCGGCTAAGGTCAGCGGCTGTGGACTTCCGTCTCCATAGCAACGAGCCGCCGCGCTCGCCCCGCCCCCCCACCGGAGCCGGGCCCGGATGTTGTGAGGATCGCGGCCTCCCGGCCCCGCTTCCTGCGCGTGGCGGCTGTCGGCCGCGGGGCTCCCTGGGAGTTGTTGTCCTTCCGGCGGCGGCGGGCCCGGCGCGGGGGCGCTGGCTGGACTACAAATCCCAGCATGCGCCGCGGCGCCCCGTCGGCCGCCGCCTCCGGGCTGCGGAGCGCCGCGAGCAGGTTGTTGTTTTGATGCGAGGCGTCAGCGCGCGCGGAGCTGTGACCGCCGGCGCCGTGACAGCCAGCTGGGCCGGCGGAGGTGGCGCTGCCCCGGCAGGTACGGCCTGGGCGGTTTGGACCCGGGGAGAGGAGGCGGGGGCGGGTTGGGGGGCCGGGGCCGACCGCCCCCCGGCGACAGCACCTCTGGGCGGAGGCTGTGGCGGAGCCGGAGGCTGCCGGGCGTGGGCTCGCTGTCGGGCTGGCGCGGCCGCCTCGGTGGCCCGCCCGGAGCTCGAGCGTGCACACGCCGGGGGGCGCGGGCCCTGCGTCTCCACCCCTGCGGCCGCCGGCCGCCTCCGGGTGGGTCCTGCAGCTCCGAGCCGGGTCCCCCGACGCGGCTGCCGCGGGGCGCCCCGCATCCCGAGCGCTGCGGGTCCATATGGTAGGGTGCTTCGTGCGTCACCGGGCGGCCCATCTGGGGGACGCTCGAGCTCCGCGCTGCCAGGCACAGGGAGGAGAGGAGGGGAAAGTGCGCGCGGGGGTCTGTCCTGCAGGGAGTGCCCCAGTCCCCGGCTGTGCCCCCCCCCTCAAGCCCGCTTTTGATCACCACCCCCGTCCGGCCCGGTCCGACGCAGTGCCCGGTTCCGAATACGTGTGCGTGTCTGAGTTTTTTCCCCATCTGGAACTGGACTCGGCCAGTTCGCGTACTTTGTCGGTGAGGTGGGATTTGCACGCCCCACCCCCGTACTAGCTTTATTGGAAACGACACCGCCACCAGGACACGGGGGAGGGACAGAACCCCCCCCCCCCATCAGAACGAGACTTCTTGCAGTTAAAATAGACGCTTGAGTAATGGAAAGTTTAGATTTGCCTCCGTAAGGTCACTTGAGCTGGAAGCATCGGCGTGGGCGCCCCAGGCCGGCCTCTGGTTTGGGTGGAGTCGGGGGGCCGCACCCCGGGGGGCTCCCTCTCGCGGTGCTGGGCTGCTGGGGGAAAGCCGGGGCGCAGACGACCCCCGGGATCCCGGGACGGGCGTCTGCCGCGCGAGCCACGCCGAGCCGCCAGCCGAGCTCGGACTTCAAGCTTAGCTGGGGGGATTATCCTGCAGCCAGGGTGGGGGACTGAGCCTTGATTTTTAAGAAGCCGAGCAAGCAAAGTCTTGTTTTCATGCATAGTTTTGAACCCTCTAAGCCTGGAGAAGCTATCGAATTAGTTTTCACATTTGAGGATGTAGAAGGACTGAATTGACTTGAAATTTTTTTTTTTTTTTTTTTTTTTTTTTTGCTTTTTGGGTCACACCCGGCGGTCACACACTTTTTGGGTCACACACTCCTGGCTGCGCACTCAAGAATTACTCCTGGCGGTGCTTGGGTGACCATATGGGAACCCCAGCCGGCCGAGTGCAAGGCAAACGCCCTACCCGCTGTGCTCTCGCTCCAGCTGGGGGGGGGGGGAGAGGGGGAGGGAGAGGGGAAATGTTGTTTGTTTTTTCCAGGGTGTGGGGGCTTGGCAGTCCGAGGTGCTCCCCAGCTGCTCCCCGCTTCTGGGGTCCCCCTCCTGGCGGACTGGCGGGGCCTCACACGGTGTCTGGGATGCAACTGGGTCTTTTTTCAAACCTTCGCTAGTTTTTTTTACATGAATAAAATGAAGTTAGAAAATAACGTATGCCTGTCTTGTAAATTTTAGAGCCTAGAACGGATTCTATGGCTAATTCGACTCAAGGGAGACTAACGGATAAGAATGAAACTACAAAGAAGGTTTCTGTGTATTTGGGAGTAGATTATACATTTCCCTCCAGGAATCAGTTCCCTTAGGCTGTACATGCAGTGCTCTGGGGAGTGCCACTGTACAGCAGGTAGACCACTTACCTTTCTTGTACACCCGGGTTCCAGTGACACCCCCCCCCCCCCAGCACAGACCTAAGAGCGCAGACATGTGTGGCCTCCCCCCAAATTAAGGAACTAAAAAGATACAATGCAGTCATTTCGGTTATAACAGAAAAGACTTTAATAAGAAAAATTGTCTTTTGTTTTTGGATGTTGGACATATTCTGTAGTGCTCCAGTAAGCACATATGGGGGAGTGGTTTGGACCATACTCAGGGGTTGCTCCTGGTGGTGCTAGAGGAACCATATGTGGTGCGGGGGATGGAATTTGAGTCCATTGTGCCCAAGGTAAGTGCCTCACCATTGTAGTCCCCAGCAAACCAGTGCTTTTAGTTAATTTTTAAAAATTTATTGTTTTGAAGTTCAGCTTGGTTTATGATCATGTTAATATTTGTGCTTTTGTGTATGAAGGTGCCCACCTTCACCATCAAGTATCCCCAGGCCCTCCACTACTCTCCTGATGTCACTTCTAGCCCACTCCATCCACCCCTAAAAATGTTACTTTTAAAAGCAAACAACAGTTGAAATATTATATGCCTAAAACTCAGCTATCAATGACTTTGTCAATCACAGGTCTTAAATAAAAATATTATAGTTGAAAAAGGAAAAGCAAACAACAGGGCCAGGATTCGATCCCCAGTGCCCTATATGGTCCCCTGAGCCCCGCCAGGTGTATTCCTGAGTGAGTGCAGAGACCGGGAGGCACCCCTGAGCATCCTGGGAGTGCCCCCACCCCCACCCTCAAGCCTCCTCTCCAAATAGAGGCAAACACTAATAATAGCAGAGCCCTTGCCACTGGACTCACACATCAGGTAAGTGGCATATTTAAGTGTGTCTTGCTGGGGAGAGAAAAGCGTTCCTTGGACTGGGAGGAAAAACACTTGGCAGTAATTCTCAGCACTTGCACACTGCATCTTTCTTTGATCTCTTTCACTTCAGTAGAAGAAAACAAAGGTTTCCTTCGGGTGAGGCAGGCAGCGGTTGATTATACCTGGAAATTCATTAGGTGACAAAAGGTGGCTTTATTTCTTAACAGTGGAATGCTCTGGAGGACTATAGTAAGAAAGGCCAAATGTCATCGGCTACTATGTGGGTGAATCTGAGCGTTTCGATGGAGAGGAAGAAGGATCTCAGAGGCGGGGCAGAAGCATAAGGGAATAGCAAGTGTCTGAAGGCAACAGACTCTGAACCTTACACATAAGGGAAGGGGGATGGTATGGGGACAGTGGGGGAGAGAAGTAGACCCTGGTGGAGGTTCTAAAACACGGTGCTTAGAACAAAACCAAAAAGGGCCTCATCACTTGAAGAGACGTGGAGTTAGACTTTAACTTATTTTTATTTTATTTTTTAATTTTTTTTTTTTGCTTTTTGGGTCACACCCGGTGATGCACAGGGGTTACTCCTGGCTCTGCACTCAGGAATCACTCCTGGCAGTGCTCGGGGGACCATATGGGATGCTGGAAATCGAACCTGGGTCAGCTACGTGCAAGGCAAACACCCTACCTGCTGTGCTATCGCTCCAGCCCCGTATTTTTTAAATTTTTATTTTAATGAATCACTGTAAGATAGCTACAGACTTAGAAACTTCCGTGATTACGTTTCAGTCATACAATGTTCAAGTACCCATCCCTCCACCAATGCTCATCCTCCACCACCAGTGTTCCCAGTATCCCTCCTGCCACCCCCACCCCTTCCCACCCCTGCCACTGTGGCAGGCACATTTCCTCTTACTCTCTCTCTCTCCTTTTGGGTGTTGTGGTTTGCAATGCAGGTACTAAGCAGCCATCATGTTTGGTCCATAGTCTACTTTCAGCACACATCTCCCATCCCGTGTGAGCCCTCCAAGCATCATTCACTTAGTGGTCCCTTCTCTGTCCCAGCTGCCTTTTCCCTCAGCACATGAGGCAGGCTTCCAAGCTGTGGAGCGATCCTTCTGACCCTTATCTCTACTGTCCTTGGGGTTAGAGAAGACTTTAATTTGTGATTTACAAAACATTTGTCAATAGAAAGAAAGCAATTAAGCAGTTATAAATTGGGATTTTAGGTTCATTTACATTTAGTCACTGTTTTATTATGCCTGCTAGTTTATGGGTTATGGTTATTCTTGTTATGGATTTTTGTTATAAATATGTTGGAGATGTGTTAATACTATATCATTTAATGCACACTTTGGTTTTTTGGTCATAAACAAAGGGACACAGTCTTTAGGAGTATTCCAAGCAATTTTACAGTTTGGAATTTTGAAAAATTAGGGTTGATATCGCCTCTTAATAAAATATCCATTCCGAAGTGTAACATTTTCCAACTGTAATGTTTATACTTTTTTAGGTTGTCATCTTTGGAAATTCGCTTCTCTCCCAAATTTCAATTTCTTTTGATATTTTCCACCATGTAATTTTGTGTACATGTATATTTTTGTTGGTTCAATCATAGATGTTTGGTTTCATTTACAAAGCGTGAGGAATACTCATACTTGATAAGCATGTCTGGTTCCGCAGTATTGCTGTGTCAGTTGTATGCTTATCCAGGAGAAAGATTTTTAAAACTCTGTTACAGGCTAAGATCTGGAACTTCGTGAACACAGCAGTAAGGCCTATTAAGCCTCGGGTATTTTAAAACTGAAAATGCAGACTCATCTAACAATGCAGAACTGCTAGAGGCTGAATTGTTTTTGAGTATGTGTGTGGTTAAGGTGAGGAAATTGCCACTGTGTAATATTGTAAGTGATACCATGATTTTGAGACTTTTCTTTATGGCAGTTCTGCAGTTCTGACTAGATTAAAATAGTCTTTAAAAATGAGTTGATCTTAAAGGTCATGTGCACTGTATTGCATCAGATAAAATCTCAGCTTAAAACTAAGGTGAAATTTACATGGGAGAAAATCAGCTGAAGCATACCAGTATGTACTAAAAGAAATTTAGGGGTTTAAGTAATGTTTAGAGCATTTTTAAAATTTGTGGAAGCATGTCTAAGGGTTTGTAGAGTTTTGTTTTCTGAAGAAAGTATTAGGAAATAAGGTTAGTGAGTTAAAGATTTTGCTGTCTTAGCAGGATATTAAAGATCTAATTTTATTTTATTATGTTCACTAATCACTGCTTTAAAACTTTTGTGTAGGTTCATCGGGAGCTGGAGCAGTAGCACAGCGGGTAGGACATTTGTCTTGCACATAGCCCACCTGGGTTTGATCTCCAGCATCCCATATGATCTCCCAAGCCCTGCCAGGAGTAATTCT